ATTCTGACCCACAGCGCCCCTAGAGGGCAGAGTGGAAGTGCACCACAGGGTTTCCGAGACTGTGATCTTTACAGAAGCAGGTGCCACATTTCTCCTGTGCTGAGCAGACTGGTGGGTTCCAACCACCAACCTTCCAGTTGACAGCCATGTGCTGCACTACTACCAGGGCTGTTCTCACAGAGACCAGGTTGCATAAAATACTGTCCATAGAAGTGCCTCAAGCTCTGGTGGCCCAATGCCTAAGGCATGTGACTGCTAACCAGAAGGCTGGTAGTTCAAACCCACCTGCCCCTCCTCAGAAGGAAGGTTGGGCAATCTACTTCTGTAGAGATACCATCTCAGAAACCCAAGGAGGGGTTGTTATGAGTCGAATCTGACTCGACAGCAGTGCCAATGTGTAAGGAACTGTATCCCTGACATTTAAATGAAACATTAGAACCACGTGTGGAAAACTGAAAATTCTCAATCTATATGCAAAAAGAAAATACACAGATTTTAAGAGGTTTGGTTCTTTACCACTTGATAAGCCCAGACTCACAAGGTACTATCAGGTGAAGTATCAGGATATGTACACGTGATGACTGCCCAAGAACTCATGACATTTTCAGCCAGAGCAAAATGGCCACCAGCCCTCCTGAGTTCCACACCTGTACATCCATCACCAAATATTCTGCCTTGCCCCCTGTATTCATGCATGAGCTAGAACCATAATGCCTCTTGTTTCCAGAGGAAATGACAAGACTGCACAATGTGGATGCAGAGGGCAGGCATGAGCACAGCCCAGAAAAGAGGTCACTGATGAAATGGATCTAATTTTTATTTATTTTTAATATGAGTGTCTTGGTGGGGATAGGTTATTCCAGAAGGTCTGAGGCAACAGGCCCAGAAATTGAGACAGTGGGATGTCTCCCCCACAACCACAATCTGGTCTGTTCCTGGCTTGTTCCAAGCAACAATGCAGGCTGTACCTCAAGGCTCTACCACCACAGACCAACCAAGGGCTGCTCCTACATGCCATAGATGCATACATGAATGTATACATGATTAAGGTACAATTGTTGTTGTTGTTGTTGTTATGTGCCATCGAGTCGGCCCCGACTCATAGCGACCCCTCCTTGGGTTTCCGAGGCAGTGTCACTACGGAAGTAGGATTGCCCAACCTTCCTTCCGAGGAGTGGCTGGTGGGTTTGAACCTCCAGCCCTCTGGTTAGCAATCAAGTGCTTTAGCCACTGTGGTACAATAGTTTTATTTTTATGAGGCTGACCCCAGGGCTCATGAAGGAAAAGCCCAAGATGAGCCTAGGACACTGCCAGAAAATAAGGCCAAAAAAAAAAAAAAAAAATTAATACAGGAACCTACTTAAGACAGTGTCTAGTAACCAAATATGCAACAATTTGAGCAAGAACATAAAATATAAATAAGTATTAATAAGCTTTAGATTATACTGATATAAGCAATTTACTACAAAAGTGGGGAGAAAGGAAAGCTATTCCTTACAGTAGAATTCCAATTTAAAAATACACAATGAATGCTTGGAACAGAAATCACCATTTGGTAAACCCCACAGTAATAATGATTGCAGGTAACAATTATCAATGGATTTTAAATTAGTTGACAAAAGTAAGACGATAAAAAGTGTGTTGACACAGGCTCAGAATATTTCCCTATGAGAAACATTAGTTACCAAGGGCAAGATTCTTCACATTACAGAGGGGGAAGACTGAAGAAAACATCTTAAACATGAAAACAAAACAAACCAACCTTAATATAAGAGCAGTGCATTTTCTTTCATGCAAATTAACATCAATAAAAACATTCAAGACCATGAAATCACAATTTGCCCATGGCTATTCACTGCAGCCTTACGTGTAATCCTAACAGAGTGTTAAACCAAAAATAACCAAACTCACTTCCATCGAGTCAAATCCGACCCTTAGTGAGCCCTCCTTGGATTTCCAAGGTGGTATCACTACGGAAGTAGACTGCCCAACCTTCCTAACAGAGTGTGTTGTCGTGGTTATTAGGGGCTGTCGCGTTGTTTCTGACTCATAGCGATCCCATGCACAGCAGAATGAAACACTGCCCAATCCCGCGCCAGCTCCATGATCCCTGCTATACTTGAGCCCATCATTGCAGCCACAGTGTCAATCCATCTCACAAGGAAAACCTTATGAATAGCAAAGAAACACTATTTGATTGGATAACAGAGTGTAAGGAGGTGAAATTTAGTGGGGACGTCTCAAAGTAAATATCTGTCCAGCTGTTCATGCAACTGGAGAAATGAACATAATGAAGACAGACGCAGATACCATGAAACTGTGCTTTGTTCCAAAGGCACAAAGGAGCTCTAATGACTTTTGCTTTGAGTTTCTGTTGTTTTCTTGCTGAGAAAGTCTGTCCTGTAATCAGAGACTTTCAGAAATGTGCTGCTGGAAATCACAGCACTAAAAAGGAAACAACCCTTACTCAAGGCCTCTCTTCACTGTGAGAACTCACATGTTTAGTGAAGTGCGAGGACCAACGGAATGCTTTCCCACACTCCTTACATTCATAAGGCCTCTCTCCACTGTGAATTCTCATATGTCTAATGAGAATTGAAGAATGACAAAAGGCTTTGCCACATTCCTTACATTCGTAAGGCCGCTCCCCACTGTGACTTCTTATGTGTGTAGTGAGGTACGAGGACTGACGGAAAGCTTTCCCACATTCTTTACATTCATAAGGCCTCTCTCCACTGTGAGTTCTCACATGTCTTGTAAGGTGTGAGGAATGACGAAAGGCTTTGCCACATTCCTTACATTCATAAGGCCTCTCTCCACTGTGAGTACTCATGTGTTTAGTGAAGTTTGAGGACCAACTAAAGGCTTTCCCACATTCCTTACATTCATAAGGCCTCTCTCCACTGTGAGTTCTTATATGTGTAGTGAGGTGTGATGGCCAACTAAAGGTTTTCCCACATTCCTTACATTCATAAGGCCTCTCTCCACTGTGACTTCTTATATGTACAGTGAGGTCTGAGGAGTGACTAAAGGTTTTCCCACATTCCTTACATTCATAAGGCCGCTCTCCACTGTGTGTACTCAAATGTTTAGTGAAATTTGAGGACCAACTAAAGGCTTTGCCACATTCCTTACATTCATAAGGCTTTTCTCCACTGTGAGTTCTTATATGTGTAGTGAGGTATGAGGACTGACGAAAGGCTTTTCCACATTCCTTACATTCATAAGGTCTTTCTCCACTGTGAGTTCTCATATGCCGAGTGAGGTGTGAGGAATAACGGAAGGCTTTCCCACACTCCTTACATACATAAGGTCTCTCTCCGCTGTGAGTTCTCATGTGTCTAGTGAAGCTTGAAGAATGATGAAAGGCTTTCCCACATTCCTTACATTCATAAGGCCTCTCTCCACTGTGACTTCTTATATGTGCAGTGAGGTGTGTTGAGCGATTAAAAGTTTTACCACATTCCTTACATACGTACGGCCTCTCTCCACTGTGAATTCTCAGATGGATAGTGAGGTTTGAGGACTTATGAAAGGCTTTCCCACATTCCTTACAGACATAAGGCTTCTCTCCACTATGACTTCTCAAATGTATAGTGAGGTTTGACGAATGACGAAAGGCTTTGCCACATTCCTTACATTCATAGGGTTTCTCTCCAGTAAGAGTTCTCACATGAGTGCTGAGGTAAGAGGGAGAACCGCAGGCTTTTCCACAGTCTTTATACTGACAGGCACTGAATCCAGAGTGAGATGTGATATGATGCTTAAGTGAATGATCCATCATGGATTTTCTACAATCAAGGTGTTCAAAAGGATATGCTTCCATGGCAGTTCTCTTGAGCACAGAAAGATCCGGAATCCAGCTGAAGGTCTGTCCACACTTATGGTCTTCATCACTTCCACAGAGATTCTCCACCACATGTCTTCTGTTAAACACAGGCAGCAGGCTGTCGGATATAAATGTTAGCATTTCATCATTAGCACACACTGTAAACGTAGTTTTTTTCCTTGAATTGTTTCATGTTTCATAGATGATATTATTTGGCAGAGATGCTATCTTTATTTTCACTGTTTCTAAATTATGGGGTTTTCTGATAATTGAATATAAGTGAAATATATTTGAAATACTCAATATATGACTCACTGTTATGAAAATTTATACTGTAAAAGTCTTGGGAATACCCAGTATCAGAGCTAGTTATATATTCATATATAAGACTCTTGGGTAGCAAAAAGGTTTCTGGTCATCTCGGAAGTAAAGGCTGGTGAGTCATAATGGATAAAACGGCAAAGGATGGCAGACATGCACACCACTAGGGCTCTTATCCATCTATATATGCACGTGTGTGTACACATACTCATACACATTCATATGTATGATATCCAATCACCTCACGTGCATGTGAGAGCTGGACAATGAATAAGGAAGACAGAAGAATTGATGCCTTTTATTGTGGTGTTTGCAAAGAACACTGAAAATATCATGGACTCCCAGAAGAACAAATAAATCTGTCTTGCAAGAAGTGCAGCAGGAATGTTCTTAGAAGCGAGAATGGCTGGACTTCATCTCATCTTCTTGGGTCATGATGTCAGAAAGGACCAGTCTCTGGAGAGGCATATCATGCTTGGTAAAGTGGAAAGTTAGTGAAACATGGGAAGACCCTCAATGAGATGGAATGACACAGTGGCTAGGATAGTGGGCTCAAGCATAGCAAGGATGGTGAGGATAGTGCAGGACAAGGCAGTGTTTCGTTCGGTTGTACATACACATGCAAACACATCCATCCGTGTATGTGTGTGTGTACATATATAGAGAAGAACAGATAGAGAAATTAGATGGATACGGATATGGACACAGATAAACACAGGAGCCCTGGTGATGCAGTGGTTATGTGCTGGGCTTCTAACTAGAAAGGTCAGTGGTTCAAACCCACCGGTAGCTACCCATGAGAATGGTGCAGTTGGTAACTTGCTTCCTTAAAGATTGTTGTTTTTGTTGTTAGGTGCCATTGACTTGACTCCGACTCATAGTGACCCTATGTACAACAGAATGAAACACTGCCCAGTTGTGTACCTTTTTCACAACCCTTGTTATGCTTGAGTCTATCATTGCAGCCACTGTGTCAACCCATCTTGTCGAGGGTCACCCTCCACTTTACTAAGCATGATATCCTTCTCCAGGGAATGGTCCCTTCTGACAACACGACCAAAGTAGTTGAGATGAAGTCTAGCCATTCTCGCTTCCAAGGAGCATTCTGGCTGCACTAAATTAGTAGCAGATTACAGCCCTGAAAACCCTATGAGCATTATTTGCCTATAGGGTTGCAATGAACTGGAACACACTTGACGGCAATGGGTGTATCTCTATCGATCTAGCTAGCTAGCTATAGCTCTGCTTTTCTTGTTGTTGGTGCTGTGGAGTCAATTCCAGCTTACAATAATTCTATGTGACAGAGTAGAACATAGGGGTTTCTTGGCTGCAAGTATTATGGAAGCAGATTACCAAGTATTTCTCTCGCAGAACCACTGGTTAGGTTCAAATTGCCAATCTCTCGGTTAGTAGTTGACTGCTTAACCATTTGTAACCAATGAACACCTTATATACAGAAATGTTTTAATACTGTAAAATCTTTTGTTTCTTTCCTGAAGCACTTCTGTCTTTGAAATGAATGATACTCACCTCATAGGTGTGGTCTGGTTGTTATCCTGATCTTCAGTCCCATGCGATTTGCAGATTTCTCCTACCATGGATGACCAGGAGTCATTTTTCATTAATTGTACCATTGTATTTTCACTGAATAGCTTTTCTCCATCATTAACATTTTGAGAAACTGAGCCAAAGATTTAAGTTGAGGTTCACAATATGAAAAAAAAAAAAAAGAAAAGAAAAGAAAACAAATTACTCAGAGAGAAAAGAAAGACTTTGATGTATTTTGCTGTTTTAGTACTTTGGCAATGGTCAAAAAGCTATTGAGTCGGAAATACTCCCATGACGACTGGGAGTGACGGTGATATAAGTAGGGTGTAATTAAAAGAGCAAAGTAGAAAGGCATCAGACACGATGCACATGTAACACTGAAAGAAGAAAAGGGCCCGGTCACTCTCCATGAACTCAGGTGTGTTAGGATTGATGAAAGTAAGAAAAGCAAGCTGTGGTGTCTGTGAAGTACAACCCCTCCACCCAAGAGACTTCTCCTAAATGATTTATTCAAATTTCATTCCCTCCATGCAGCCCTACTCTTTCAAAGGACTCTTGCCTCCTGGTGCCCCCTCCAACACCCCAACACAGTGGTCCTGGATGAGTGCTATATGCATTCTTCCTCTTGCTACTCTGGGAGGACGCAAAAGGGACAGGGAGGCAGCATATTCTGACCTCCTGTAAGTACACAAGAGGAAGACAGAATCACCATCAGCAGCCCAAGGCCTGTCCTTATGAGAGCAGACATCATGTCACCCTCCAGCCCTCTTACTACCCTTGACACCAACAGTCCCTCCCATGGCACCCACCACCTCTCTGCTGGGTTCAATAATTAGCTGTAGTGGCCAAACGGAACTCACAGATTATGGAGTTTATTAGGGAAGCACCAGGCTACAATTCAAGTTCAGTAATGTGCTCAGTCTCTCTCAGTAGCACATCTCTTTTCCAGCCGTGCATCTCTCTCGTGTCCCTCTCTCAGCAGCACGTCTCTCTCAGCAGAGCGTCTCTCTCAGCCAGCAGTCACAGAGATTCTTTCTGCCTCTGGGAAGGCTCCTTTTGAGCCTGGCAGAGTGGCCCAAACCAACCAATCTCAACATTAGAGTTCTGCACACCTGAGAGAGAGTGAACTTCCCAGGAGTTTACTTTGTGCTTCTGCGACAGAAACATCCCAGGTGGATAGCTTTTAACAATCAGGTACTCAGTTGTTCACGGCAAAGTGGGAGTTACAAAGACTATGGCTAGAAAAGCCATACCATGTAATTTACTACACTGCAGAGGACAAGTGGGTGCAGCTGACATGGTACTCATGGAGAACGGCCTATCATGTGGGAAAAGATATGAGTAATGAACCCCTGACCCTGAACCAACACTTTAATGTTCAGGGTCTCTAGAGATGGGCAGGTATGAATTTATTTCTAGAACAATCGTGTTGAACTTGTAATAAACAAATTAAGACTCTAAGACACAAGTTCTTAGACCACAAATACTCTCTCTGGGCATCAAAGAAACCCTTATAGTCATTGCTCACACTTGGTACATTCAAGAGCCTTAAACCTTTAACCACAATTGAAGGAAGTCAATTCAATCCACAGAGCTTTGTGTTCATGTGGAAGCCAGGATATGCATGCTCCAAAGCCAATGAACATACCTGTAACAGTGTAGTCCCATTCCTCGGCCCACATGGTAGAGTAACATCAAAACGAGTATGTTGTATTTGGTGACCAAGAAGTAATTTTTTAAAAAATGAAGGCTTTCATACCTACTGAGGCCAGGTTTCTGAAGGTTTCCATCATCACATCTCTGTAGAGTTTCCTCTGATTAAGATCCAGCAACGCCCACTCTTCCTGGGTAAAGTCCACAGCCACATCCTCAACAGCCACTGAGCCCTAAAACATCCCACACATTCTGGTCAGCAGGGTCCCATGTACTCCCATGTGCATGAAAGGAAGGGTGAGGCTGACAGTGCTGGGAACTGAGATTTCAGGGGATCTGACTCAGCGGTCCGTGTTCTACTAAGGTCCCCTCCAGGGCTGAGTCATCAGCCTCATGCCTTCCCTGTCTACATTCACGTCCTCACTGACTGCATCCTGTCCATAAACTTAACAATACCTGCAACACAATGAAATCCACAGTGTGCCTGTGACCAATTCCAGTCTCGTTCTTTATGGTCTAGAACTCTATGTCAGAACACACAGCATCAGTTAGAGAAATGCTCTACAATGTAAGCATTTTCCCACATTCTGATCATCTTTTCCTTGTGAGGACAAAGAAAAACAAAACAAAAAAAGTTTACCTCCACACAAACGACCACCAGATTATTTAACAAAACATAAAGCACAGGGTGAAAGCAGGACAACATATTAACGACTAGGACACACCACACAACTGGCAGTTTTTCCTTTTGCCCCTCACTGCACATGGGAAGTCTACCATCTGCACAGACACACAAAGAAAGTGGCATCCCCACGTGCTGGGCTGATTGTATACCTTTTAAAGAATTCCAAGTGACTAGGAGCTGACAGGACTACTTGCTGAAAAGAGAATATTATTTTTGGGGATTATGAATTTTGACACGTCTGTCACCTACTTTTGAATAACTCTATAGTTGGGTTGTCATACACTCTGTCCCTTCGGAGACAGGCAAGAATACTGAAAAGATAAACAGAACTCAGGTGACAGACAGGAAACAGGAAAATGTAGGTATCACAATTGTCAAACTTGGAGATGCAAAGCTATTGTACACCGATGATTAATGGCTGGTCCCTTCAATGAACAGACACCCAGACACCCACAAACACACAATAATGTCATAAAATGACAAAGGGCCTAATCTGTGAGAAAGCAGAATAGCGTGCCCTTGTGTTTGCAAACTGTGACCCAGAGGTTAGACGCCCATGTTCTGGTAAGTAGAACAAAGTGCAGAGGATTTCTCTGTTAAAGTGCTCGTGGATCCTAGAAAACACACACACACACAGACCAAGATGGGAATGTTAACGCCCCACAGTGTCAGCCCTGAACGTCACATAATGGTCGCCCAAGGCATCAAAGGCTTGAAAAACCAGCCACGTGGAGAGGAAAGGCCCAGTGACAGCGGAGCAGGGCCTCAGGAAGCCTCTCAGGGCCCAGGCCCTTGCCCTCTCAGCCACTTTTCTACCTCACTGAGGAACCTCAGGGCCCTTAGCATACAGTCCCCCAATAATCTACATGCAGCCTCACCCCTCCTGGTAGCAGTACCCCAGTTCCCTTCATACTCACCATTTTGTGGCTCCAGTGTCTGGAAGGCTAAGTGAAAGTGCTCTCTCTGCACAAGATGCCAATTCAGGAAGAGGGACGGGAGTGGACACAGAGCCAGGAGGCAGTGTGGAGGCAGATGAATGATGTCAGGTCCACACAGTCAGTTGGAATAGTTAAAATCCTGACTTGCAGTTGCATGGATAGGCAAGTTGGCCGCTCGTGTTCCCAGCTACCTAGACTGGACTATCTCTCGCTGTGCCACACTTGGCTTCTGAAATGGAAGAGTCAGTGTTAAGTAAGGATGGAGTGCCAGGTTCTTGGCCGCTTGGCCTTCAGCTCTTTCCCTAAACCCCACTGCTGTCAAGTCGGATCTGACTCATAGCGAACCCTCCTTGGGTTTCTGAGGAGGTATCACTACAGAAGTAGGATCACCCAACCTTCCTTCCGAGGAGTCACTGGTGGGTTTGAACCGCCAGCCCTCTGGTTAGCAGTCACATGCCTTAGGCACTACGCCACCAGAGCTCCTAGCTCTTTCCCTGGGCAGGGCTTACTCCCAGGTTCCAGGCCATGCTCCCCTCTGAGGACATTTACGGCAAATCCTGCTCCAGGTTCCAGAGCACACACTTGTGTCCTTCAGGCAGCTCCACAGGCCTCTTACTGAGGAGGCGTTTCCTCATCCCAGAGCATGAGAGGCATCCAGATCTGCCCAGGCTGGACCATGAACCCGGCTTCCCTCTAGGGAGTTAGGCCTCCAAGGCTGAGGTAGAGGTTCACTTGTAGGTTATGGGTTCCTTTTTGCAGAGCAACCTCCACACTTTTAGTTGATACCAATATGGGCTGACTGTTCATAGAGAAAATATTTTGTAATTTCAAGGAAATGAAGTTATGTATCACTGATTTTTAATTACATATAGTTAAAACTCTGTGGCTGTGTTTTTTGTAAGTTTCCATTTCATTGATAGCGTGGCATCATGGGTCAGAATTTCTCTGTTGATTTTGCAAGTAGTACATCCTTCTTCCCCTTGAGTGTCTTATTTTTTCATTCACTCTCTAGCCTTTACACCACCAGTTCCCGAGCTTTCCAGAATCTGGGAGGATTCCTGAACTCGTTCTGTTCCAGCTCGTAATAATTGATCAACCAACAAACCAGAGAAGCCCTGTGTTTTGTGGAAGGGGCAGCCACCGCCACCAGGTCCCATTGCCTCCCTCGCCAACGCCCCACCCAGCCGACTCCAGCTCTCCTGCTCCTTGGTCTCTGCGTCAATGTTCCTCCCTCCTCTCTCACATGATCCGTACACCAGTGCCTCCTCACCAAGACTTGTCCTTCCTTTCATTAATTTCTCTAAGAGCATTCTCTAGTTTTAGTTCACAGCTTATTTCCATTATGGGAGCTTGGTGGATACAGAGAATACTGACCCCACTCAAGATAAAAATGTGCATTTTCCCAAGACCCCTGGGGTATCCACCTCCAAGCACTCGCTGCTCTAGGACCCTGTAGTTGAAGGGAAGAATTTTCAATGGCAGATCCCCTGTCCCAGCTGAAGCACTAGCACAATCCATGGCCCTAAACCTCAGCTGGCTTCCAGAGTCCAGTCAGGTCCTGCTCACCTCGTCCAAACTCTGGCCTATGCTGCACTTATCATGGACCGGAAAGGGCCACTCCAGTCCCTATGCAACCCCATGGGTCGAGCACTGGCCAATGTGTGCAAAGGCCTGGGTAGGGGGACCCACAAGCACACCAACAGCTGTCTCTGAAGCAGAGTCTGCATCACTAGCACAACTTGTCACTGAGGTGGACACCCAGAAACTGGGCAACAGACAGAACCCCTGGAGGGGCCTGGGCCAAGCCAGAGTCAGTGCATGATTAGGACACCGGCCCGAGGGATGCCTTCATCCTGCCCTCGTCAGCTCCTGAGTCAGAGGGTGTTCAGTATCTCAGCTTCCTGGAAGGAGTAGGAGCTGGCGCTCCACAGCCCAGGGATGGCCAGGGCTGGGTGGAGAGGGCGTACTGAAGGCCAAGGTGAGGGCAGAGGTCACGAGGTGCCTGGGAAGGATCTAGCAAAGAGAGACCAAATCAGCTGCTCCCCATTTAGCCAGAGCCTGGGATCGAAGACGGCAAAGGAAGGCTGACAGGTGGCCGATGCCACATGCTGGGGGATGGTAGGCAACAGACCTGGGCTCCAGGTGTCCCTTCCATAGCCTTACTCTTCTTGGGGAGAGGAAGACACCAGTGTCCAGCTCCATGCTGCAAAGCCACCTCTCATTACCCAAGACACGTCCAATGGGCAACATGTCAGTGGTATTTACAGAAATGATACCCAGGGGTATCGAATAGCACATTCCTTAAGTGACAACTGCTGGAACTTAAGCACAGTTTTTAAAAAGGAGGAATGACTTTCTGTTGTTTGGAAACTTGAAACAAGCATGGTGACTTCAGCAGCACTGAGGATGCTAACTCCTCAGGAACAAGTTCTGCTCCCAGAGGGAAAATGGAGGAAGTTATGCAAGACCCGTCCAGCATCCCACATGGCACACCTTCTTCTAAGGCCACAGCCTCGTCTGAAGGCAGTGGCTCAGTCCGGGGGTGAGAGACCCTCTCTCTGGCAGAGAGGGAAGGACTCCTGTGTCAGGGGGATTGTGCCCTCTAGTCCCCTTGACCCAGGCAGAAGGAGGGGTGTCGGGAGCTGGGTGGGTTCCACAGTGCTCAGGAGGCCTAAAATCAATAACATCAAAGTTAGACTGTATGGAGGACTTCCAGTCAGACTACAAGACTGCTTAAGGCTGAAGATTCTGGCAGCTGGAGGCCAGAAAAGCCTGGCAGTAGAAATAAATACATTTTTATCATAGGGCTTGTTTTAAGTTCAAGTCCAGGGTTCAAACACAGTAATGATCATGAGCGAACACTAACTCTTTCTATATGGCCAGCAATACCCTGATACCAAAGTCAGATAAAGATCACAGGAAAAGAAAAGTACAGACCAACAGCCCTTATGAAACGACATGTAAAAACCCTCAACTAAATACCATTAAGCTGAGTCCAATAGTATAGTACAAAGATTATACACGGTGATGAAGTAGGATTTACCTCAGGAAAGGTATTGCAATGAAATACTCTTAAAATGGAGAAACATAATCACATTATCATCACAATCAACACAGAAAAGGCATTTGACAAATCTGAGACCCTCTCATGATGGAAACAGTCAACAAACCAGACACAGAAAGGAAAGTCTTCGGTATGCTTAAAGGCATTTATGAAAAAGCCAAAGCTAAGATCATACTCAACAGAGAGACACTAAAATCATCTTTCCTAAGAGGACGAGCCAGTATGTCCACTTTCACCACTGCTATTCAGTCTTCATTCTGTCCTGCAAGTTCCAGCCAATTTTGTAAGAAAAAGAGACAAAAGGTCTCCAGACAGTAAAGGAAGAAGTAAACTCCCTCTATTCACAGATGATGTCATTCTATACACAGATGATGTCATTCTATACACAGATGACTCCAAAGGACCCACAAGTGGCAGAGCTCAGCGGTGACGTCAGTAAAACTGCAGGATAAACTTCAATGCACAAAACTCAGCTGCATATAAACCAGCAATGAACAACTGAGAAAGAAGTTAAGAAAACCCTTCCATTTACAACAGTGTCTGACAGAAAAAACAACCCACCCGGGAACCAACGTACCAGGGAGGTGAGAGACTTGCACATGAAAAACACAATACGGAAAGAAACTAAGAGACCTAAATGAAGCGAAGTCATGGAAAGAAGAAAGCCTCCGAGCCCCATGTCCACAGGCCCCAGCTCCGGAAAGCCCGACAGACTGAAGCTCTAGGGAGATACAGGAGGTCCCAGGAGTCAGAAGCAACTCAGAGGAAATTGTTTGGTTTTGTTTTAGTCTAAATTAATGACAAGACATGGGTACTCACGGGTTGGAAGGCTTAATGTTGTGAAGGTGTCAACTGTACCCAAAGTGATCTACTGATTCAATGTAATCCCCATCAAAACTCTAACGGCCCTCTTTGGAGAAATGGAAAATCCAATCCTGAAAGTCAAACAGAATTGCAAGAGGACACGAATATGCAAAACAATCTTAAAGAGGAACAAAATAGGACAACTCACACATCCCTACTAAAAATGTAACATTCATGGGACTGTGAAATGATACAACCACTGCGGAAAGCAGTATGGCAATTCCTTAAGAAGTTGGATAGAAATACCATTTGACCCAGCAATTCCATTACTAGGTATGTATCAGAAAGAAGTGAAAACCAGGACAAGAAGAGATACATGCATACCCATATTCATCACAGCACTATTTACAATAAGAAAAAGATGGAAAGAACATAGGTGCCCATCAACAGAAGAATGAATGATCAAACTATGGTACATACACACAATGGAATACTATGCAACCCTAAAGAATAAAGTAGAATCTATAAAACATTACAAAACATGGATGAACTTGAAGGACATTATGGTGAGTGAAATAAGTCAATCACAGAAGGACAAATATTGTATTAGTCTGTTATTGTAAAAAGTCCAGCAAAGGTTTATATATGGAAGGGAATTTTCTTTGTTGGTTACCGGGTGGTAGGGGGAGGAATGGAACACTGCTAGATAGGTAGAGACAAGTATTGATTTGGGTGGACGGAAGGGCAATGTACCAAATGTGAGTGATCAACACTGTGGCACTGAGGAAGAAGAAAACATAGAGAGGTGCATGGGAGGTACAGACAACAAAGACAAACCCTTGTGCACATACCGTACTGTGTTGTCAGTGATAGAAAACATTGATCTATTGGTGGATAGATAGGTGGACAGGCTGAATGATCGGGTATGTTTAGACAGGGGGGAGTGTGCCCATGACAATGTACAGAGTTGGCAGATGATGTTTCTAGAAGCGTATTTATGTGTTCTGTAAGAATGTCCATGTATATAGTAGAGCTGACAAGGGACAAGGTTGTGGTGAGTGCCTGGGCATAGCCAGCTACTAGGAGGGAGGGAGTAGTTGGACCTGTGGGCTCAAGACCATGGTCCTAGGGGAGGGACATCAAGCTCAATTGGCATAACATACTCCACTGCTCGTCCACAGTAAAGGAGAATGAAGAAAACCAAAGATTCATGGAAACAATTATTCCAAGTGACTGTACAAGTACACCATCTGATCTGCAGCCTAGACGACTATGAGACCCAGAAGAACTAGATGGTACCCGGCTACCACTGTCAACAACTCAGAGAGGGATCTCTGTAGGAGATCCTGCATAGAGTGGGAGAACAATGTGGAACAAAACTCAAAATCATTAAAAAAAAAAGGATCAGGTTTGCTGGACTGATGGAGCCTGATGGAACCGCCAGGACTATAGCCCCTAGCTGCCCCCAGGTCTGGAACTGAACCTACTCCTGTGGCTTCCAGCCAAACAAAAGACAGGCATATGAGCTGAACATTTACATCAGGTAGATATACTCCTTGGAGATAACAATCATGGGAGAATAGAAGGGCTGTGTGAGCACAGGGAGATGGCTCAGGGTGCAGGAGTACATGGAGGGAAAGACACAAAGAAGAGGTGGCTATGGGGAGGAAGTGGGACAAGGATGTGGCAGTCTCCCTCTGTAAAGGTGACAGCCCTGGAAACCCCCTGGGGCAGTTGTACTCGGTCTTCCAGGGTGTCTCCGCATTTGAATCAACTCCACCAGCAATGCTTAGGGGGCAGCGAGTAGGGTCGCCTCCTTTAACATAGGAGAGGCCGTTCCCCACCTGGGACAGGCTGGCGACCAGAGTCTCTGCGGAGACACAGACGCACCGGGCACGTCAGAGCAGCCCTCGCCCTGGGCCCTGCCGGACTGGGAGGGGAAGGGCTCAGCCGCTCACTCGGGGCCTCCACCAGGAGGAGCCGCCGCCACTGGTACCGAGCGCAGGGCACGCGCCACCTGCCGGTCCGCGCTACCTGCGTTCGGCGGCCAGCCCGCGGCGCCCACCGTCAGGGCGATCGGCAGGTTTGGGGTCAACACCGGGCATCCCTGGGCTGGGGGCGCGCCGCTAGCGTCGCCGCAATCTCCCCGCGCCCGGGGACCCAGCCAGGCCGCCTGCTTCCTCCGCCGCCGCCGCCGGTGGCCGAGGGTCCGGGTAGCGCGAGGAGGCTGGCCGGGGGCCCAGGCGGGAACTTACTGATCTCGGACAGCATCCTCGCCCGCTTGTCGCCGCCGCGCTCCTGCCGCGCCCGGGCCCGGTCAGCACGGCGGCGCCGCTGCCACTCAGACTCGTCAAGCCCGGGAAGGCGACAGGCCCACAGTCGGCGTTGGGCGTGCGGAACGGCCCGGGGGCAGGCCCCGAGCTCCGAGGCGGCTGGCGCCCAGTTCTGCGCGCTCCCGCTGCGGCCTCTCCGAACCCGGAAGCGCGGCCCCGCGTACCTTACACTCAGCTTGGCTCAGAGGCTGCGTCCCGAGCGCGCCTGCGCGGCGCCGGCTCTCCCAATATGCCCCTCCTCTCCACTCCCGCGGAGCTCCACCCGGAGAGACCCGCCCCCAGGTAGTGACATTACGAGTGCGCCGCCGGTGGCCCTTTAAAAGCGCGGCGCAGTGGTCGCTCGGCCGCAGGTAGTAGGGAAGGTGGGTGTCTTTTGTGGTTTTGGGCAAAGCAGATGAGGGTGCCCCCCCAAGCAGGCCCTGGAAGTGAAGAGCGGACTCCAACACCCTCATCTGCTTTGCCAAACTATTATTCAAATTTATGCACCAACCATCAAAGCCAAAGTTGAAGAAATTGAAGATTTTTACCAGCTTCTGCAGTCTGAAATTGCCCGAGCATGCAATCAAGATGTGTTAATTATCACTGGTGATTGGAATGCAAAAGTTGGAAACAAAGAAGAATCACCAATAGTTGGAAAATACGGCCTTGGTGATAGAAATGATGCTGGAGATCACATGATAGAATATTGCAAGCCAACGACTAATTCATTGCAAATACCTTTTTTCAACAACACAAACGGCAGCTATACACATGGACTTTACCAGATGGATTACATAGAAATCAAACTGACTACATGTGTGGCTCTGGTAGCATAGTGGCTAAGGCACTTGACTGCTCACCAGAAGGCTGGCGGTTCAAACCCACCAGCCACTCCTCGGAAGGAAGGTTGGGCAATCCTACTTCCGTAGTGATACTGCCTCGGAAACCCAAGGAGGGGTCGCTATGAGTCGGGGCCGACTCGACGGCAAATAACAACAACAACATGTGTAGCAAGAGGTGATGGAGAAGCTCAGTATTTTCAGCCAAAACAAGGCCAGGAGGTGACTGAAACAGACCATCAACTGCTCATATGTGCAAGTTCAAGTTGAAGCTGAAGATAATTAAAAGAAGTCCATGAGAGCCAAAATATGAGCTTGTTTATATCGGTCCTGAATTTATAGACCATCTAAAGAATAGATTTGATGAATTGAACACCAATGACTGAAAACCAAAGGAATTGTGGGATGACATCAAGAATGTCACGCATGAAGAAAGCAAGAGATCATTAAAAAGACAGGAAAGGAAGAAAAGACCAAAATGGATGTCAGAAGAGACTCTGAAACTTGCCCTTGAATGGAGAGTAGCTAAAGCGGATAGAAGAATCGACAGGATAAAAGAGCTGAACAGAAGATTTCAAGGAGCAGCTCGAGAGAAGACAAAGTCAATTATTATAATGAAACGTACAAAGACCTAGAGTTGGAAAACTAAAGAGTTGGAAGAACATGCTTGGTGTTTCTCAAGCTGAAAGAGCCGAGGAAAAAAATTAAGCCTTTAATTCCAATTTGGAAGGATTCCATGGACAATATGTTGAATGATGCATGAATGAAACATCAAAAGAGGATGGATGGAATACACAGAGTCACTATACCAGAAAGAATTGGTAGATGATGATCCATTTCAGGAGGTGGCATATTATCAAGAACCAATGATACTGAAGGAAGAAGTCGAAGCTGCACTGAAGGAATTGGCGAACACAAGGCCCCAGGAATTGATGAATAGCCATTGAGATGTTTTAACGAACGGATGCTGCACTGAAGGCACTCACTTATGCCAAGAGATTTGGAAGACAGCTACCTGGCCAACTGACTGGAAGAAGTCCAAATATGTACCCATTCTGAAGAAAGGTGATCCCATGGATTGTGGAAATTATCAAACAATATCATTAATATCACATACAAGGAAAATCTTACTGAAGGTAATTCAAAAAGAGTTGCAGCAATATATTGACAGAGAACTTCCAAAACGCAGGCTGGAGTCAGAAGGGGTTGTGGAATGAGGGATATCATAGTTAATGTCAAATGGGTTTTGGCTCAAAGCAAATAATACCAAAAAAGATGTTTTCTTGTCTATGCAAAGTTATTCAATTGTGTGGATCATAACAAATTGTGGGTAACATTGAGAAGGATGGGAATTCCAGAATGCTTAATTGTTCTCATGAGGAACCTGTATGTAGACCAGGAGGCATTGTTTTAACAGAACAAGGGGATAGTGCATGGTTTAAAATCAGGAAGGGAGTGCGTCAGGGTTGCATCCTTTCACCATACTTACTCAATCTATATGCAGACCAAATAATCGAGAAGCTGGATTATATGAAGAATGTGGCATCAGGATTTGGGGAAGGCTCATTAACAACCTGCAATACACATGATACAACTTTGCTTGGTGAAAAGAAGTGAGGATGGCTTGGAGCACTTACTGATGAAGATTAAAGACTATAGTCTGCATTATGGATTAACACCTCAATATAAAGAAAACAAAAATCCTCACAACTGGACCTTATTTAAGCAGCATCACAATAGATGGAGAAAAGAGTGAAGTTGTCAAAGACTTCATATTGGTTGGTTCTACAGTCAACACCATGGAAGCAGCAGTCAAGACATCAAAAGACATACTGCATTTGACAAATCTGTTGCAAAGGACTTCTTTCAAGTGCTAAAGAGCAAAGATACTTCCTTGAAGACTAAGATGTGCCTGACCCAAGCCATAGTATTTTGAATCACCTCATATGTGTGTGAGAGCTGGACAGTGGTTAAAGAAGACCAAAGAAGAGTAGATGCTTTTGAGTTGTGGTGTTGGCGAAGAATGCTGAAAGTACCATAGACTGCTCAAAGAACAAATCTATCCTGGAAAAAGTGCGGCCGGAATGCTCCTTGCAAGCGAGAATGGCCAGACTTCATCTCACCTACTTCAGTCATTTCAGAAGGGACCATTCTTAGTAGCAGGGTGTCATGCTTGGTCATGTGGAGGGTCAATTGGGAAGGCCAGTAACAAGATGCACTGACAGCGGCTGCAGTAATGGGCTCAGGTATAGTAGGGATTGTGAGGCTGGCACAGGACCAGGCAGTGTTTCTTTCTGCTGTGCACAGGGTCGCTATGAGTCAGAGATGACTTGACAGCACCTGACAACAACAACAACAACAGCATTGGGCTTCAGGATAAATATTGTTTTTTTGTTTTGTTTTGTTCTGTTTTTTAATAATGAATGTGACTCCATTCCCTTGAATTTGTCATTCATGGCATAGTAGACCATTGCATTGTCTGATTCAGAATGGCCAATATCAGTCCATTTCAGCTCACTGATGCCTAGGATGTTGATCTTTATGCATTCCATTTCACTTTTGACCACTTCCAGTTTTCCTAGATTCATACTTTGTACATTTCATGTTTCCAAGGCTGGATGGAAATCTTTACAGAAGCAGACTGCCTCATCTTTCTTCCACAGAGTGGTGGTGGTTATGTGCTATCGAGTCAGACCCAACTCATAGCAACCCCTCCTTGGGTTTCTGAGGCAGTATCACTTTGGAAGTAGATTGCCCAACCTTCCTTCCGAGGAGTGGCTGGTGGGTTTGAACTGCCAGCCTTCGGGTTAGCAGTCAAGTGCCTTAGGCACTATGCTACCAGAGCTCCTTGGCAGGTTCAAAGCACTGATCTTCTGGTTAGCAGCAGAATGCTTTAACCACTATACCATCAGAGCTCCTTACTAGTAGATCAGTGGTTTTCAAAATTTACTATACATAAGAATCACTTGAGGATCTTGTTTAATTGTAGATTCAGATTCAGTATTCTCTGGGGTCAGAAATGCAAATTCTCAACAGGGGTTCAAAGGAGAATGAATCAGTTCAAATCCCTGTCTTAAAGTGATGGTGCATTTGGGTGATGTATTTTTTTAAAATCTGAGTTCCTTTTAAATCTGAGTTCCCTTTTCCCCTGTCATGGCTACTCTGTGTGACAATGCTTTTTGGGGGTGAGCTCTACCAAGGAATTGTATCAGACCTCACTGCTTTCTGAAGGTTGTTCCACGTGAGTTGGGTTTCTGCTTGTTCTTTCAGTTGATGGTTATGCCCCAAGGCTGTGACATCTGAGGTGCAGGTCCTTGAAAGTCCACACAGAGGAAGTTTAGGACTGAAGGTGGGAAGAGTGGAGCCGCATGACTCCTGGACTTTGTTTCATGATGACTTTGCCACCACCAGACACTGGTTTGTTCCAAAGAGACTGAGAATAGTGCTCATCATGGTCAACAAATGAATGTTCTCTTCTGGGCCTCCCAGGCCACGTGTGGGACATGTGAGGTAGAAGCTGAAACCGTCCAGGCCACAAGGTGTCCCTCTTTCCTGTGTGAACTGGTCCAGAAATGAAAAAGTGTGACCAGGGTTACTTCTGTGTTGAGAAATTGCTGTGCATTGTGTATTACAGGACTTCCCCTTTTCTTGTTCATGCTTGGCAAATGTTTGTGGAGACTATAGTTTCAGAGGTCCTGGAAGATGGCTGTCTTGAAGGAAAATGGGCAACGTTAAGGCTCTTCTGTAGAAACAATTTGATGTTTGTGTGTGTAGGTCAAGTGTTTCACCCCTCCTGGCAGCTGTCTGACCTACAACCTCGTGGAAGGCTGAGACCACCCTGGCCAGCTCTGAAGCCAAAGGACTCCCATAGTGTCTTGTCTTTGTCGGCAGTGAAATCACTGAAATGCACCCAGAGCTTTGGGAGTATTTGATCCTACTGATGAGCCTTACTTTGGAGGCCTTTGTGTGTTTCTCTTCTCTAGATATTTTGGGTAAAAAATGCATATACTCTTTAGCAGACCTAACAAAAAA